TTTGCAGATTAGTCATGAAGCTCCGGTTACTGGAGGATTTGGTGCTGAAATATCTGCTTCAATTGTCGAACGTTGCTTCCTAAGGGCAAGCACCAGTCTTCGCCACAACTTTTTTCTATTTAGATATTTCAGTGGTTTGCACTTAAGCTCTTGGAGGATAACTTGATCTTTGAACTTTTGTGTAGTTGGAAGCACCTGTTGCGAGAGTATGCGGTCTGGATACCCCATTTCCTCTTGTATTTGAGCCCTTCTATATGCCCAACAAGAACAAGGTTAGTTATCTACAATCTTTGCTACCACGATGTTTTCTTTTGATACCGGCCACCTCTGCTTATACGGGTTTTTGTTTTCTTCATTGAATGCAGATATTGGATGCAATCAAATCAACTGTAAATTTCTAGTGCAAAAGCAAGTCTGCTTCTTTCTTCTCTCTCTAGTTTGCTTTCCTAGTGCAGGTGCCATCTCCCTCCATTATCACCTTGCACCTGTATGATGGAGTACGGAAATAATGTAGCACGATGTCTTCACTCCTTCACTCAATCTATTCCGATATTTAAAAGAAACCAGCAATAATATATTTTTCTTCGTTAAAAAGCTATAATGATTCCTCAATAACATACTTTGCTTTCCCAAACCCGTTAATTACCAGTCCTTACTCAACTGCTCAATGATCAATCAGTGAAGTGAACACATTATTAATGTGAAAATTATATAGAAAATAAAAAAAGTTCCTTTCAGGCTTGGCTCTGCTAATAGAGATGCTGAGACTCTGACAACGTTGATGGCAACAAAAAGCAGCGGGATATGGGAGCCTCCGAAAACAAGCAGCATCATCCTCGCATGGAGGAAGCTGATGGTTGTTTTTCACTAAGGATTGTAGACTATTACACGGTCCACCAAATATTGTATTAATCTCTATTGGCCTGCCCGTGGACCAATCTACAATCAGAACTTTCAATCCTCGCACTTATTAATGGTCTTGAAATTGTCAATATAGTCATTGGTTCTAATCA